TGCCAATGTGCATTGGCTCGTTTAGTTTACACTCGAAGTAGATTGGTCTCTCTAAGCGAGATCCCAATTTCGTCGGTCATCCGACGTGACGTCGAGAGTGACCGACTGAAAGGGAACCACAAAACCGACACAAAACGATGTAGTATACATGCCAGACCAGTATGTGGCGCTGTAATTCTGCCACAGAGATACACTAAAAACGGAGAAGAAGACTTGGACTATGCGCATAAACTTTGCGCGTGGTATACAAACGAACATAGAACAATTCATTTATTAATGTTAGTTAATAAAAAGACAATCGTTCAGTGTTTGTTCATGTTTTTGTTGGTGTTACGTGACATAGCGGTGTCTGACTAGGGGCAAGACGTGGACTGATGACGTCATCGTTTCAGAAAATATACGTATTCGCTGTCCACACAAAAACGCAAGGGCGGCGCTTTCAGATTTATGCACTCTGGGACCCGGTTTCAAAAAATATTTATACTAATATATTTCACTCTCCCAAAACGCCAGATCCGTGTGGACGAAACGCCTATACGATACAAAATGTATGCGTATTCAGTTAAACGCGTCTCCGTGTGGACGGGGCCTTAGTATAATATGTCCTCTCAACTAAGCCCAAGCAATAAAATGAGCTCAACTTAAATATTTTTGCCCTTCCAACATTTTGTAAATTTGATTTTTTACAGTGCAGAGCCTTCAGATTTCCAGCTCCATGCTGCTGCTTCTTCTTTTCAGTTCACCACACTCATTTTCTATAGGGTTCAGCTGAGGGAACTGAGATGGCCATGGCAGAACCCTTTTTTTATTTTGAAGTTTGTTTTTGATCGCTGTCCTGTTGGAAGATCCAAAATTGACACATTATAAGATTTTTATTTATTTTTTTAATCTGTTGGTATTTGATAAAATCCATGATATAATCTATCTGAACAAGATATCCAGGACCTCCAGTGGAAAAACAAACCCACAACATTAAAGATCCAGCAATATATTTTATTTTACACACGGGGTACTTTTTACCCCTGTGTGCATCAAGCCCATCTTGAGTGTTTGCTGCTAAAAAAAAAAGCTTTTTTTTTTATTTTTCTCCATCTGACTATAAAACCCAGTTCTTCAGCTGTGATCCTTGGAGAGTCTTTGGCCACTCAAACTATTCTCCTCGCCTTGCATTAAGACAATTCTCTTCCAGGCAGATTCGTAACATCTCTAGGTGATCTTAAATTATTGCCCTAATGGTTAAAATGCATGACAATTTTCTTTTAGCCATTTTCTAGTTTGTGAAGCTCAACAATCTTTTGCTGCACATCAGAACTATATTCTTTGGTTTTGCTCATTTGTGATGGATGTTTAAGGGAATTTTGTTTCCTCATATTTGTTCTCCTGTGAAAAAGGAAGCCATGGCTGGACAGTTTGATGTTCCTAATCACTGGTGTTCTAAAATATTCATAATTTCCCCACCACTTTCAACTGTTTGTTTTACTTCAAGGAAAAGATGGAATTTTGTGAAATTTTTTGAATGTAAAATCAAAAGGATAAACAATGCAGATTAATTTTCACAGCCTTCTTTGCATATTCACCAAGGGGGCCCATCATTTTGACAACTGCATACATGTATAGTGAAACTGAAATGAAATGACACTGCCTTATCTTTGAAGAGAATGTTATAACTACCTACAAGGCTATCAACAACCACTAAAATTGTAATCCTGCTGGGTTTTTCTTGTTCATAAGCATTTGTTACATCCCATCTGGTATCCTTTTTGCAGCATAATTACCGAGTAATTGTAATTTTACAGAATGTACTCACTATAGAGTTAGGATTTGGCGCTTTCTTCTGGATAATTTACTGTTCTTGATGCATGTAATATGTATAACACGGTCACTGCAAAATAAAGTGTTACCACAGTTTGACTCGATGACAAAAATTGTCAAAACTAAGATTATCCCATCTTCCAGTATACTGTGAGATGTGCTGTAGACTGAACACTTGGAAACAGAAAGAGTAAAAGTAATTTGTTTAATAAAATATGCAGTGTAAAACAATGCCTAAACAATCATAACTATATAAAAGAAAAACATTTTCAAAAAAAGTCAGGAACATCCTTGCAGCTGAGAGTGGAAAAAGGACAGAAATAGGACACCTGCAAATATCACAGTTTTTGAAAAATCAGTGCTTTTCAAAAATGGTAAATTTACAGTATCATTCATGCTTTAGATCAATCTTTAATGCCATAGTTAACAAAAGGTTACAAAAAGCATTACATAAAATATACAGTTAAACAGCTTTGGACAAACATCTCATGCCATATTATAGCTTCTTACCCACTGAGCAATCAGAGCAAATATTCAAAGTATTTTCAATTGGGAGCTTCATTTAAAGAGAGGATGAGAAAAAAAAACCTGCTCCCATTAAAAGAAAACACATCAAGTCAAAGATTCTTTGTTTATGCTGATGCATGAACAGTGCTATTACACCAGTTCCAACTTTAAACACATGCAAATCACCATTCTCATTTTTGCACTTATAAACCACCAATGTGCCTCTTGCACAGAGGAGGGAGGGGAGTAAATTAAATCTTAAAATGGGGATCTTAATCCTCTCCTCCGCCAAACATGTCTGCCAGCTTCTTAAAGCGTGGGCCCCACTCATTGAGGAAGTCATAGTCTTGGTCGTGTCCTGAGCTGGAAGAGTTGAGGGAGCTGAGTGAACCTGCATCTGAGCCTCCTCCTTCATAGTCAAACACCAGGAGGGAGTCATAGGGGGGTGCTGTAGGATCGTTATCCGCAGCATTCAGATTCTGTGGTACAAAGTTGTGTTAGTCATATTTAAACCTGGTTATAAAAAGATATAAACACAGACTTTAAAAATTACTTACATCATCAATGAACGTCCCAATCTCCTCAGGGTTGGCTGGTCGAGGTCTATACTGAGGTGCTGGCAGGAAAGTGGGTGCCACATCATTTCGGAACACTTCAGGTCTGTTGTCCAAGCCACGATGCAACACACTCAGATCATAATCCTGTGCAGAAAGGGTGTTTGATATGAAAGAACTGCAAAGAGGAAGCCAACTGCTACATGCAGAAGGTCAGTATATAGTCTCAAGCTACTTTTTGTTTTCCAAACATTAAGTCAAAGTCATCGCAAGCTACTACAAATGTAACTGCACACAGGTTGGAACCATTGACATCTGAATGCCAAGTTTACATGGAACCCAAACGCATTTTTATAAGATGGCTTTGCCTTGTTACAGACTATGGAACTCCGTAACACATTTCACAAAGCTTCACTAATGCTTATATTGCAAAAAGATGTTAAGCAAAAAGACAGATTTGTACATGATGCTTGAGCGTTGCAGGCAAGATCTGACTGCAATAATTGTTTTTAAAAACAGGATGCGTGACTGTCAATATTTTGTTTCAAGTTTAACCAAACACTATGAATTCAGCCATCAAAAACTGATCAAATTATTGAAATTAAAACCAACCTGGTCGTCTTCTCCACCGCCTTCCTCATCATAATAGTAGATGTTGTCTCGTACATCATCTTCAGGAAGGAGGGGTTCTTTTTTGGTACCGCTTTTCCTCCTCAGGAACAAAAGCAGAAGAAGAACGAGCACTGTGGTACAAGAAACACAACAGCAAACTTCAAAATTCAGTGGTAATAAGGAATTAAACTGAAAAGTCAATTTCTGCAGTATAGTTTATATACACCAACCGTCTCTATGCACAACACCTGGAAGACAAACTACGGTTGCTAAAATGATCAGTATACAGAGCACACAGTTACTGTATGCCCACTGCATTGACTATGACAACCAAGTAAACCAGCTAGTTTACACAATGCATGAGAGAAACTACATACACAGCAGAGCCAAGATTCCTCCCAGGATCCCAAGCACTCCAGATAGTGGCATCCCTGCTACCAGTTTGTCAGAACACCGGACTTCATCTCCTGTGCAGTCACACACAGTTGCTTGAATGGAGCTGTCCTGATACAGCTTATGTTGATCAAACACTCTCAGGACTACATTGTAGTCCCCCTGCTCCAATTGAGACTTGAGATGCAGAAAAACACCAGTTGCTGAAATGGACACATTATAATAGTTAGACATATGTAGCCACTACCAACCAGCCAACCATTTTAATGTGAAAGAATTAGTTGAATTTCTTAAAACATTAGAAACTGCTCACATGTGTCATTCATTGAGGTGGACCAGTTTTTACTGGTTTCTCCTTGGGCCTCAACGCTAAAGGGTGCACCAAAAGGAGGTCCATCTTTGTCCGTTATAGAGAGAAGAACTGGGGCTGATCCACGATTGCAAACTCTTACATTCCTTTCATTTATCACAGGAGCGTTGTCATTTACATTCTCCAATTCAATTATCAGGGTTCCTGTGCCAGTTGCTGGAGATGCTGCTGCACACAAGCACAAATATATTAGAAAAAGGCTATGCTGCAAGAATTCCTTCTACCTAGAAACACAAATTACCGTCATCATCCACGGCCAAAATGATAGCTCTGTATTTTCCATCTTTGACATAAACGGATTCTCTATCCATAAGGGTTCTGACTTTAATCACTCCAGTCTCTGGAGACACACTGAGCCAGCCAGCAGGATCATTGCCCATTTTATACCTGGAAGAAAGAAGAAAAAAAAGTTAACGAGAAATGTTCATCAAGAAAAACTTAAGGGGATAGTTCACCCAAAAATTTAAATTGTCAATAATTTCCCACCCTCATGTCATTCCAAACCCGTAAGACCTTAGTTTATCTTCAGAACACAAATTAAGATATTTTTGATGAAATATGAGAGCTTTCTGACCCTGCATAGACAGCAACGGAACTACCACGCTCAAGGCCCAGAAACATAGGAAGGACATTGTTAAAATTGTCCATATGACATCAGTGGTTCAACCATAAAAGTTATGAAGCTATGAGAACACTTTGTGAGCAATGAAAGAAAAAATATCTTTATTCAACAATTCTTCTCTTCCGTGTCAGTCTCTAACGTGCATTCACAAGAGGACCATGACTCATGCGTGTGGTGCTACTGACGCAGGAGCAGTCATTCTGACATAGAACCCGGATGCGCTGCGGCTTGTTTGCAGTCAGAGGAAAGCACATGGGTGCATGTTGAACTGTGGTACGGTCTTGAGCATGCATCAAAGTCTGATGCAGAAGAGAAGAAACTGTTGAATGAAGTCGTTTTCTTTGCGTACCAAAACAAAATGGAGTATTCTAGTAGCTTCATAAAAGGCTGAACCACTGAGGTCACATGGACTATTTTAATGATGTCCTTACTACCTTTCTGGGCCTTGAACATGGTAGTTACACTGCCGTCTATACAGGGTCAGAAAGCTCTCGTATTTCATCAAAAACAATTTGTGTTCTGAAGATGAACTAAAGCCTTATGGGTTTGGAACAACATGAGGGTGAGTAATTAAATGACAGAATCTTCATTTTTTTGGTGAACTAACCTTTTAATGTTGGTTTGACCAGACATGGAGATTTAAAAATGTGAAGTTTAAAGTATATGCTGTGGTTTTATGGCTGGGTAGAAGAGTTGTGACAGTGGAAAGGTGGTTCTCAAAAGTTATACTAGTGAAGTGAATTTAGTAGTCTTCTAAGCACTCACACCTAAATGCTCTAATTTAAAAATTAGAGCATGTAAAAGAAAAGGTCTGAATTTATGAAGAGCACATCTATGGAAGTCCATTGGATTTGTGTTCACTAAAAAAAACATTGAAGACATTTCTAGTGAAATCAATCAGAAAAGGAAATTATTAAAATATTTAATATCTTACATTATCTTCTGTGATTTTCCAATGTCTGGATCAGTGGCTGTATAAGTAACCAATTCAGTATCAACTGGTGCATCTTCAGGTTTGAAGATAACCTTCTCTTTTGGATTAAACTCAGGAGGTTCATTTACGTCTTCTACATTCACTGTGACCGTGGCAGTGGAAGTGGGCAAAGAACCGACAAATAGATCATCATTCTCAACAATCACAGACAGGACGTACTGCTTGGTCTTCTCAAAGTCCAGGGGCTAAATGGAAAAGAAAGTGTCTTTTACGAAGGTATGTCATCACAACCAATTGTCTGGGCAAACATAGGAGCAACACACAGTACCTTAACAGTGGTGATGATGCCCTCCAGCTGGGTGGGTCCAGTACTGACATTGAAAAACCCACCCTTGTCACCACTAATAATGCGATACTTGGTTGACCAGGCCGGTGATCCAACTTCATCTCCATCAGAAACTGCAAGTTTGGCCACTACAGCCCCTACTTTATTCTCTGGGACAGATACGACGTGCTAAAAGATATGCATGGTGTGTGTATATAAGAATTAATGAGTACAAACACCTACAAGTGGTAGAGTAAAACAATTCTAAATACATAAATATACATTACCGAAGTTTGCTCAAACTGAGGAGGGTTATCATTGCTGTCAGTAATTGTAATAACAGCTGTGCCAGTGGTTGACAAACCTTCTCCTTCCATGTCAGCAGCCACAATTAACAAAGTATATCTGGGCCATTGCTGAAAAGATAACTGATGAGTTTGTTTACATTAAGTAATTTTATCACCACTTTGAGATTCATCAAATGTCACTTCTCACCTCTCTGTTCATGTCTGGTTCTCGCACACGAATGGTTCCAGATAAAATGTTGATATCAAACATGTTTGCTTTTGGAAATGGTGGCTCTTGGCTGACAATTGCGTAGTTGACTATACCGTTGTACGTTTCTGGGTCATCTGCATCAGTGGCTGTGACTGTCATAAACTCATAATCTTTGATGAGAGAATAAAGACTGATTAGCTGGTAAAAGTTCAAGAAGCATTTGATGAGAAAAAAAGCCATTTTACCAAGAAAATGCACTATACATGTACCTTTTCCAGCAGCTTCATGAACATGTCCATTAAAAGGATTTTGAGTAAACAGAGGCTTATTATCATTTTGGTCAATTACATTGATGACAATTTCCATTGGACTTTCTTTTACATCCATGTCACTTCCTGTAGAATGAGCTATAATCTAAAGAAATTAGAAGAAATATGGACATGTTAAGTGACAAATATCTTAGGTTCAATAAAGACCCAGTTAAATCAAAATTAGACTTGAGTCTTTTCATTCATGTCTATTAGGGGAGCGCTGGGCACAATGTAACGCAGGGTTAGTTGCAACACACGTGGTTTAAATATTTCCACACATGATAAGCATAACAAAATGTATAGTATTTACTAGTGTCACGAATCCGGTCTTTGGACTTCCGTCTGATTGCCATCAGAGGTCAGCCTTCCATTATATTGACACTCAGACTACACAGACTGTTTCACGTTACCTTGGACTACATTTCCCATCTGCCATTTCACTAATCACACGCTCACCTGAAACCAATCACATACACTACATAAGCCACACTCAAACCATTACAGACTGCTGAGTATTGTAAGCGTATATCACTCTCATAGTGATAGCTACTCTACAGAGCCAGTTCTAGTTTCATAATCTAGTCATAGTCCTGCCTTGCCTGTTTTTCCCGGGAATCTTTGAAAACGGTGACGTCATGCGTGTGCGTAGTACGTGTTAGTTTTTTTTGTATGTATGTATGTATTAGGAGTACGTGTGATTTTAAAGGCAAGCACGAACAAACATACACAACATTGGCGGAGTACTTGGTTCTGTTGTTGCTGCTCAAGAGTTTGCTAACACTTCTTCAGCAAAGTGTGGATTTACTTCACCAATATTACAACCAACAGCGGAGACGCATCATATATAACATATAATCGTCACTTCAGTACAGGTACTGTTTACTGACAAGGTGACTGCGCCAACTACTGGCCTAGCATATGTAATACAGCGTTTTTGGCCGTTTTCACAGATATGCGTAAACGCGGATCATTTTGAAAACGTTGTCGTGTAGGCTATACGTGAAACTTTTTAAAAACGCAAGGGAAAGACTTTTCCGTT